GGTGGCATAAAGAAGAGATAATCAGTGTTATTCACTTCACCTGTCAGTGGTTGTTATGTGATTCATGATTAGTGTAAATAGAGTTGATCTTTGTGGATGAAATAGTGTGAGAGACTAATTAGGATACTTTGCTAGCCTGATGTTGGACACAATTGTCAACTTGCCGATCTTCAAATCCATGTTTAGTCTGAACATGGAAATCACTGATTTCTCTTTGGGCATCAGTTTGTTTTTCCCCTGGTCAGTCGGGTGCTTGTGTCAAAGTCCATCCAGATGTTTGGCTTTGCTGACCTTTAAATGCTCCATTTCGCGGACATGTACTAAGATCCTTTTTAAATGGAGAGCTACACTGAGTTTTCCTTTAGGTGTGGGAGAATTAATGCGTGTTCAGGGTTGCAGAAAAGCAACAGTCATTGTTGGTTTACACTGAGCTTAACACTTTACAGCAGCTTCTTAACCACAGTGAACCCACCCATTCTACTGATACAGGTTGTTTTTTTTTTTCTTTTCATTTTGGCTGGTAGTAGTGGATCGATCGATCTATCTACAGTGGGGCAAAAAAGTATTTAGTCAGCCACCGATTGTGCAAGTTCCCCCACCTAAAATGATGACAGAGGTCAGTAATTTGCACCAGAGGTACACTTCAACTGTGAGAGACAGAATGTGGAAAAAAAAAATCCATGAATCCACATGGTAGGATTTGTAAAGAATTTATTCGTAAATCAGGGTGGAAAATAAGTATTTGGTCAATAACAAAAATACAACTCAATACTTTGTAACATAACCTTTGTTGGCAATAACAGAGGTCAAACGTTTACTATAGGTCTTTACCAGGTTTGCACACACAGTAGCTGGTATTTTGGCCCATTCCTCCATGCAGATCTTCTCGAGAGCAGTGATGTTTTGGGGCTGTCGCCGAGCAACACGGACTTTCAACTCCCGCCACAGATTTTCTATGGGGTTGAGGTCTGGAGACTGGCTAGGCCACTCCAGGACTTTCAAATGCTTCTTACGGAGCCACTCCTTTGTTGCCCGGGCGGTGTGTTTTGGATCATTGTCATGTTGGAAGACCCAGCCTCGTTTCATCTTCAAAGTTCTCACTGATGGAAGGAGGTTTTGGCTCAAAATCTCACGATACATGGCCCCATTCATTCTGTCCTTAACACGGATCAGTCGTCCTGTCCCCTTGGCAGAAAAACAGCCCCATAGCATGATGTTTCCACCCCCATGCTTCACAGTAGGTATGGTGTTCTTGGGATGCAACTCAGTATTCTTCTTCCTCCAAACACGACGAGTTGAGTTTATACCAAAAAGTTCTACTTTGGTTTCATCTGACCACATGACATTCTCCCAATCCTCTGCTGTATCATCCATGTGCTCTCTGGCAAACTTCAGACGGGCCTGGACATGCACTGGCTTCAGCAGCGGAACACGTCTGGCACTGCGGGATTTGATTCCCTGCCGTTGTAGTGTGTTACTGATGGTGACCTTTGTTACTTTGGTCCCAGCTCTCTGCAGGTCATTCACCAGGTCCCCCCGTGTGGTTCTGGGATCTTTGCTCACCGTTCTCATGATCATTTTGACCCCACGGGATGAGATCTTGCGTGGAGCCCCAGATCGAGGGAGATTATCAGTGGTCTTGTATGTCTTCCATTTTCTGATGATTGCTCCCACAGTTGATTTTTTCACACCAAGCTGCTTGCCTATTGTAGATTCACTCTTCCCAGTCTGGTGCAGGTCTACAATACTTTTCCTGGTGTCCTTCGAAAGCTCTTTGGTCTTGGCCATGGCGGAGTTTGGAGTCTGACTGTTTGAGGCTGTGGACAGGTGTCTTTTATACAGATGATGAGTTCAAACAGGTGCCATTCATACAGGTAACGAGTGGGGGACAGAAAAGCTTCTTACAGAAGACGTTACAGGTCTGTGAGAGCCAGAGATTTTCCTTGTTTGAGGTGACCAAATACTTATTTTCCACCCTGATTTACGAATAAATTCTTTACAAATCCTACCATGTGAATTCATGGATTTTTTTTCACATTCTGTCTCTCACAGTTGAAGTGTACCTCTGGTGCAAATTACTGACCTCTGTCATCATTTTAAGTGGGGGAACTTGCACAATCGGTGGCTGACTAAATACTTTTTTGCCCCACTGTATATTTGATCTATTATGATGTGATTCTCAATATTCATAAATACACGTACCTATACACGTCGAACTTCCGCAGGCACAAAGAAATTACGGAGGCTATCACTTATCACCTGACCAAAGATATGGCTCCCATCAACACTGTGCAAAACGAGGGATTTAGGAAAATGATCAACACCCTAGACAAACGCTACACAGTGCCGTCCCGCAACTATTTTTCTATTGTTGCACTACCTGCTCTATACACGCAGTGTCGAGCAACGGTGGAGACGGAATTTCAAGCAGTACAACATTTTGCGGCAACAACAAAACGTGAGACATTTGTTGTTTTTATGTTTATTTATTGTTTTTATGTTCAGTCTCAACTGTTACGAAGTTGATGTGCAGTTAATAAGTGCAATAAATATTTATACTGGAAAAGAAAATCGTGAGAGAATCGTGATCTCAATTCTAAGCCAAAAAATCGTGATTCTCATTTTATGCAAAATCGTGCAGCCCTAATAGATAGATAGATAGATAGATAGATAGATAGATAGATAGATAGATAGATAGATAGATGGAGAGAGAGAGAGATCATCTTTATTTGGCCAAGTTTGTACACACAAACAAGGAATTTCACTCCAACCTACTTTTCTCTCTGCATGCAAAGAAAATAAATGCTTTTTCAATAGACAAGTTAGTATATAATTAATAATGATAACTGCATACACCTTATCTAAACTAACTAAAACACTAGAGTAAGTATAACAAAAACTGCTTTTTGCTCTGCATCTATAAATGTTTGTGTATGTGTTTACATTTATTTCACATTCATTTATATTTTATTTTATGTTGTGGTTATTGTGATGATTAATGTTTTCTAGTATTTCCATTTCACTTCATACTCCTATGTCATATCAGTGTGAAGTTGTGTATTTTATTCCCAAAGATGAACTTTGTCAAAGTAAATGTTTGGGCTGTATAATTTGGTGGTGCACTGTTATAATATAAGATGCATATAAAGTAATTAAATTGGCCATATCCTTCTCAACTATGACCCTGATGTAATGCTATAGTTGTACTTTATCTCCTCTTCCAGTTGTGGCGTGTTTTAAGGATTTTTAAAGCACTTTCAGGCGTTTTTCAGTTAGGCTTAAAGAAATAAAAAAACCCTCAGAAATACAAAACTGTTCAGCGCATCAGTGTGAAAACACACCTCACATGACCCATGTGTCAAAATAGTGTTATTATCCTCTAAGAATGTTAACCGCACTGGTCTGAGCCAGTGGCTGTTTCTGCCCCGTGGGCCTGTTTCCTCACCAAGTGGAGCAGTTTACGAGTGAGGTTAAGATGTCAGTCTCAGCCCTCCTTTATCTGTCCCCCAGCCTGACCTCCGGCACAGGAGGGAAGAATGCGAAGGCTTGACCCTAAGTGAGCACTCCGCCTCTCTCTCCCTCCTCCCTGACGCACCTCCACCCAAGCAGCAGGAGCAGCAGCCTGTGGGCTCCTCGTGTCAGCCACTGTGTCCCCAGCAACCTCCTCGCGGTTTGCAAATATGCCCTCGATATGGCTGGCATGTCGTACGCACATGTCCCAGCGGTGGGAGATAAATTTGAGAGCAAGGAGATGTCAGGCTGGCGACAGCTGTGGGCTACAATTTCACCAGATGTCTGCCGTTGCTAACCTTCAGCAGACATGAACTGGCCGCCCCCTGCACGCACTTTACATGCACAGTAAATATTTTCTCAACACGAAGCTCAAAGAAAGCGCAAACCAGAATTTGTTTGTCACAGCTCGCATAGCCAGAGCCTTCTGGGCCATGATTTATAAGACGCGCAGGCACGTACTGATGAAATGCAGCCGGTGTTTGATTTGAAGAGAATCACAGCTGGAGCTGTGACGGGAGTCTCGGTATGGATCTGTGCTCACCGGATCACATTAGGGATGAAATTCCTGCTGGAGGGGAGTTTTATTGTCCACTCTTCAAAAACCTGCTGGTGGCACTGTGATGCTGGATGAAAAGCTCAAATCTTTAGCTTAAGTAAAAGCTTGAATTCCTATTGCATATGTTAAACTCATACACAGTGAACACAGACAATTTAGTGTCATAACAGACCAACAGCCAGTTATAAATAACATCAGAATGTAAACACATCACATCTCAGAGAAATGTGCAGTTAAGAATTTGATTTCCTGCTAAATCTGAAGTTCAATCTGTGTCTCCCTGTGGTCAAAATGAGCCTCAGCACCACCCAGTCCTTGTCAATGAAGTCATTTTCATGTGTTCAAGCATCATAAACAGCTGAAGGAGCATGCAGCGCTAGCAGTAGATGTGGACAGATGTGGCTAACAGCTGTGTGTGACATCTGGGACAAAATGTGTGACTAAGAACTCTCTTTTTGTTCTTAACTTATGGCTTTAAAAAAATATCGAGATATATATCTTATATCGCCATCCAGCTAAAAAATATCGAGATATGAATTTTGGGTCATATCGCCCAGCCCTACATGAGCATGAAAACTAGACCAAAGAGCAATGGAAGAAGGTGGCTTTGAGATTGTTGCAGACCAACAACTGGTTTGACGAGCACATCAGCGAGTTTGAGGTGTTGACTTGGCCCCCAAATTCCCCAAATCTCAATCCAAACGAGCATCTGTGGGATGTGCAAACAAAGCCAATCCAATCCATAGATGCCCCACCTCGCGGCTTACAGGACTTAAAGGCTCTGTTGCTAACATCTTGGTGCAGATACCACAGCACACCTTGAGGGGAGGAGTAGAGTCCATGCCTCAATGGCTGTTTAGGCAGTAAAAGAGGGACCAACACAATATTAGGCAGGTGGTCATAATATGGCGCCTGATAGGTTAATATTTGAATTAATCTTATAAATAATGGTTCCCACTCTTCAGTTAGCTGTACAGTATGGTTATCTGCTTGACGTGTATCTGCTATTGTTGGACGCTTTCACAGGTCCACTAGAAAGTAAACTAAGGGTTGGTGGCACTGAAGCACTTTGAACATACATCAAAAAATGTGGAGGCATTTAAAACTGTAAAACATAAACTCACATGAGAGGCCTCAGATGTGATCACTGATAACTTTACTGATGCCCACAGCACATAATTGGACTTCCAAATAGCTAACAGTACACAAAAGGCAACGTGAAAATAAAACTTACTATCACGTATCAACAAATATGCATTAGGGATCGTGACATCCATCGTCTCTATGTACAGCATGTACAGTATGCACAAGGCAGCAGGTGGCTGTTTGCCCATGTTGGCGAGCAGGTGATCGTTAAAAGCAAAAATGAATGGAATTCAACATTAATTAAAGCTAACGATAAACTAATGTAAATAATAACTCAGACAACATAAATCAAACACAATGTTTTGTTTTCCATTGCAGCAATAAAATATTATAGTGAGCGTCAGATTGCAGACAGCTATGACATGCATGTGTATGAGGACTTAAATACGAATGTGGGTTCAGTGTGTGTGTGTGTGTGTGTGTGTGTGCGTACATGTCTGAGGCTCGGGCCGGTCCCTGTGCAGGCTCTGCTCATTCTCCTCAACTGCAGCCTTTCCAGGAGCTTGTCATCGGTGCTTAGTCCCACCACCGCTGACCGTCTGCCCTGCGTCTAATGGGGGCATCCTAAAACAAGAGGTGGGATGACTGACACGGCAACACAGACTCTCTCTCATACCCTGTCTGACATGCGAAATATGGAAGGGAATGCAGTCCTCATCAACCCACCTCAGCCAGTGAACAACAGCCAGTGTGGTGATTTTCATATATTGCACAAGCTGCAAGTACAGACTGGAAATAGAGCTCAGTCAGCACACTTTCACTTGACATTTTGAAACATAAATCATATCAGTACACTGTGGCGAGGCTGAATTAAGTAATAATGACAAGCTAACAATCAGCATTTATGTTTCAAATTATTCTTTCCATCATCTGGACATAATTTACACAGGACTGTCTGACAAATATCTCATCAGCTTCTGTGTTGTGTTGACTCATTTCATCAAGCCTCAGCCCACATTTCTCCAGTCAGCTTTAAAGTCAAATCAGAAATCAGATATCACAGTTTCTTTTCTTTTTTTCTCTTCTCAAACAACCCCACGCGATGACATGACAAAAATATCACTATTTCGTTTAAAAATAAATGCTTAAATATATGAGTTGTTTTTCAGGCAAAACTGTATAAGAAGACGGATGAAACTCTCACATTTGATACTTTCAAAGAAAGCAGAAGCCGGTGTTGTGCCAAAAAGTGATTGTCTGCCAAAAACTGATTTCCAATGTTTCTGTGTATTTTTTATGTGTAATATCTTTACGTATGTTCGTAAATAGACTTCGGTGAACAGGGTTTACAAAGGGGTTATATAGAGAATTAAAACAATATCTGTTTTTCAAGTATCTTTACAACTCTCTGCTATTGTACTTACATTATAACCAATCCGGTCCTTTATCCCCACTTAAAATATTTTTACAGAAATATTGTAATATTTGCTGCCATTTCTGCTGTCCTCTTGGCCAACTTACTCTTACAAAAGACATTTTTAATGTTAATGAGATTTTTTTAACTGCATAAATAAAGGTTATATAAAAGTCACTGCCAAAAACTGATTGCGGCTTCTACCTTGTTACACGAATGTTGTTTGTGGCTCAAGATGACTTTATGTCATCCATAAGGGATGCATTTGACATATGTTTCACATATTATAGCCCAACAAGTTACTTATAGCAGTTTAAATACGAGCAATCAGTTTTTGGCAAATACCGGAAATCAGTTTTTGGCAGACAATCACTTTTTGGCACAACACCTGTTGTTTTGGCACAACACCGGGAGCCACTTTAACTCAGCCGCAAACTGGAAAGTGTTTTACCACATTTCTGTTTCCACCCTTTAAAAAATTAAAGAAAATAATTTAGCTGACTCTAGCCTCACACTTGTGTGTTGAAAACTGGAACCAGCATGATTCTTTCCTAAACAAATACCTACCACCTCCAAAAGCCTGCAGACACACCTGCTGTTTCCTCTGCGCTCAACGAACATGATATCCTGCAGCTTCCGGTTAGAGCATCAGGCGTTCCCAAGATCCGGGAGAGCCATTCCACTTCCTGTTTATCCAACCGCACAGAAACGGGCTGCAGTTCAACCAGAGTTGCAACAGGGGGCGCTCAAAAGATGGTCCTACATGAATAATAATAAAGCGTGTTAATGTCGTATGCTTTACGACATCAATACAATGTCACATTGACAAAAGAAATATAAAAGGATTTTTTTATTAATTAATTTTTTGATAAAGGATTTTGAGATAAAAATCAAAATACTACTTTAACTTTGTCGTAAAAAAAACCCCCAAAACAAACAAAAACAAAAACCCCAGTAATTATTCAAATGAAAATTGGCCCTTATACACCTTCGCACAAGATGCCTCACAAAATGAAATTGGAGGTGAGTTAAAACATGCAAAATATAAGGGAAACATTTAAGACAACCAGAAATTTCTTCTCTGATCACTAACTCATCAGGACAGTGTTTACTGAGGTCAGAGGTCAAGTACATACGAGACATTTGGAGTGTCGCCCCCTGCTGGCAGGTCCAATGCACACAAGTCTACAGTATTTCCATGTTGGTTTCATTTATCAGACCCAAAAGCCACCTGCAACTTTTGTACTGCTGTAATACTGCAACAGAAACTCACATATGTAAGAAACATGACAGATTAGCAGTGGCCGTTGCCGGATGCAATAAAGTATCTCCCTTGTGTTGTGGCATCAGAAAATTATTTCACGACAATCCGAACCTACAAAAAGAAATAAATGAAGAAGAATTCATAACATGTTCAAAGATTGCAGAAGAAAAATGTCTTTCCATGTGAAATCTGTATTTTTGTTCTACATCTTATGACCACTCACTATAAAAGCAGATATCCAGAGAGTAGAGGCTTTTAGTATTTAAAGTTCCTTGGCTATAGTTATGCAATATGCGCATAGAAGGTTGGGTTCATGCAGGAGCAGCATGTGATGTGGAAGACTCATTATCAAAACTGTAGAATCAGCAGGCATGTCAGTAAGGACAAAAACCCTTGGAAGCTTTAAAGACAAGCTTAAAAATTAAGAGCATTGTGCTAGCATGTGTTACAATTACTGGACAATGGAAAAAATATAAGAACAGCTGACAGTCAGAGTCATTATAGAAGTCATCTAAGAGGTAAATCTGAAAAAAAAATATATATATAATAACCAATATCCAGTTTTCCATAGTGAGTAAACAAGAATGTTAAACACATTATTAAAAATGATTGTGTCCAGCCAAGAATTTCTTTGACACTCAAATCCCATTCCATTTCTGTATATTGAGTATAACCAGTTAATCTGTCAGCACCAGCGACATTAAAAAAATTCTTTCTGAAGAAAATGTCCCATAATTACCAAGGAACATTGAGATTTGAGTCAATCCATATAAGAACTAGTTTTTAAAAAGTGCACAGTATCTTTGCTGTACCTATGACTGCATCTCGGATGTTATTCCTGGGATCTGCTAGAGCAACACTCGCCCAACTTGGAGGCCACAGTACTGACTGCATGTATATATTATATATGGAACGAGAGAGAGATTGTGAATAAATTGCAGCAATTCCTATTTAATGTCTAAAATGAAGGGGAAAAAAGTGTTGGTACACTGGATATTTGATCTGTTTCCTGAGAATTCACTGGAGAAAACTTCAAAAAGGTGCATTCTGGGAAAACTTTCACGGCTCATATCACCCTGTGGGATAGGTGGCTGATCAGAACAAGTTGGAGCATGTGAAAGGTTTCATTTTTACCTACGGGTGATACAAGGCCCATCTTCTAGCTGCTTTCTCTTCTATGTCACAACAATTTTCTAATACTGTCATTTTTTAACACTTTCATGGCTGCAAAATGGAAAGACACATTGGTATTTACATGCTATAGTTAGGTAACTGATTAAACAACTTTTTCCATAGCTAAAGTTTTTGTTTTATTTATTTTGACTTTGAAGGCCAGTCAGTGAAAATGGTGATAGTCTGAAGGGAAATAGCTTCACTAAATATGATCACGTTATTTTACACAAATGCTTTAGTTGATTCTGAGGAGCTCAAGTGGGAGGCAATTACATCTTAGAGAGAAAAAAAAAGTTGGAAATGAAATTGTTATAAAAAAAAAAGTAGGTTGACTTTAACATTCAGTATTAATCCAAAAAGAAAACTGTCTTTTAAATGTTTCAAATGAAGCTGCTCAGTCTGTCTCTGAAGGAAATCACACAGTAAAAAAAAAAGGACGTGTGGAAGTTTATTCGTTATGATTTAGCAGTTATCCTTCAATCAGGCACTTGTGACATGATTAAAAGCTTCTAAGAAATTCGGCAGCCCTGGGGTCAACAGCACAGCACAAGGCTGTGAGTTAAGTGATGTTTTTCACTTCTTTAGAGTTTTGAATGCGCAAAGAATAAAGACAAATTTATAGGTAGGAGAGTCAAATGGAGGTTGCACATTTCTTGAATGTCCAGCTCAGCTTTTGTTTTCCATAACAGGAATCCAGGGTGTGTTCGGAGCTGCAACATTCTGCATAGTTGGGAGTGTTAGTGGATTTGACAGTTCTCCAAGTGTCCCATGGCCCTGAGTTCAGCGAACACACTCCAGACACAACAGTGACAGCTGGGGGAGGGATAAATAAAAACAGTGTCTCTAGCTCCGTTACAAGACGGCAGTCCAGACAAACAGCCCGGTAGCCTGTGTGTGTGCGCTCGCGGACACATCCGCACACAGCGCCGGACATGCGTGAACAGACACGCACGCGCCTCCCCTCACACGTTCGCTCCTTCACACTTACTGAATTCACCGCTGCGAGGGCAACAGATGGACAAACGAGAGAGGCGAGAAGAAGGGGAAAGCGCCACAGAAGATAATAAATGCTGTTGGACTTGGCCCGTTAGCAACCGGCATTCCTCTGACAGGTGTAACATGTTTACCAAACAAACAAGCAGCGCGCATGTCAGAGAAATGAAAATGGTGACTTGAGGTTGCATGACCTGTGAAAAGAAGCCTGGTATCCATGCTGGCATATGTATGAGAGCTTTGAAGGTATTTCAGAGAGATGAGAAGACTGCGTGCCACACCAGGATTGCAAGAGTGTCTCGCAGAATTTGTCTTATGTTACTGGCCTCAAGCATCCCAGGCAGCTCCGGGGCCATCCGGGGTCACAGGCGCTGATGGGCAGTTTTTAAGCTTCTCACTTTGACGACTACATTCCACTTCAGGGCAGAAGGAAAATCGTCTCGCATCACAATCAAGCAAAATAACCACTTGGACCTGTCGAGCCAGACATGGGGACTTCCGCTCTGGATTACAGTGACCTTGACCTCCAACAAAACAAGTTATACCCAACCAACCCTTCAACAAGGATCACGATAACAAGCTAATATAGTAGTCACTGATTTCATTTTGTTCCTATACTCGTCATGCATCTTTATTTTCCATAATAAGACTCAAACATATACCACAGAGCAAGGGACTTTTATAGACCTCATCACTCTTTGTGTGCCAAAGCTAAACACACTGTCAGGAGACCATGGCTGCAAACTGCCAGTTGATTAGTTTGATGTTTTACTGGTGGAAAATAATTGGAGTGAGCACAAGTCATATTTTCTAGCCCCAGGCACAGGCTTACCTTTCCAGAAAGGAATGCAATCATTAGCTTTGAAAGTCATTTATCTTGTGAATCCATGTGCTTCGCTCTGACAAAGTAATGATGTACTCTTACTACACTGCACTGCGCTGTGTGCGGAAAGAAAAGTGAGAAGAAAAACAGTTTAATCGCTAACACTCCAAACGTAAACCTCTTGTTTAATGTAAAAGGTTGTGAATAAAGCACACTGTCGTTCAAGCAGAATTCAGTTTATATCAGCTACTCAGGTTTTATCAACCCCAAAATCACATTGATCAATATTTTATGTCAGTAGTAGATTATATGAAAGGTGTTACTTTACTTTGCGAGCAGGAACCAAAATGTGTTCCGGCTAACTTTTGTGTGTAAAAAGTGACCAAATATTTAGTTAGAGTTAATCATGTTACAAAGTGGAGGCTGCTTTTGATAATTCATCATGGATGTCCCCTTTGGTAAAACCTGAAAGCAATAATAACAAGTCAAATATCTTTTCTTTTCATATGTCGTAGTAGGGTCTACATTTACAGTAAAACCTGAATGGATTCAAGCTAAGAACCGACCCCCATTCAATCAGGAAGGTCTAATATTGAAATTCCGTGAACTGTAAAGATTAATCTTGACTATGTCCAACGCAGCTTTGCACATCCAGTAGCAACAATTTGAATTTTGAAGTAAATTTCATTTGCATTTTGGAGCAAATCTTGGCTCTGATGATGTGATGATAATATTGGGGCTGTTGTAGCAACAGCGTTGGGAAAAAAAAAAAAAAAAAGACCCAGCGGCTGAAAGTCAATAAAAAAAAGTCATGACTGCTGCCTTCATTTTAGTTTGCGGATGTGCAGCGCATCCAAAAACCACATGCAAAAGACCCCAAAAAATTACAGCTGAATACTTCGCACATATTTATGTGTTTATTTTTCAGGACCTGCAGATTCAAACCCACGGATGCAGGAGCAGACAAACTTCCCTCTTTTTGCCACCTTGCATTTCCATACGGCCTATTCCCCTTTTTTTGTGGTGATTTTGTGTCTTTTCATTTTTATGCACTTTGACTTTTTTTTTATTGATTTATGGTCCTTTGCAGTCCTGTCACAGTAGTGCATACATACAAATCGTGAGCACAAATAAGAGTCTTATTTCAGTTGGTGTACCTTGAGGGCTGAACATAATTATCCCTAATGAAAAAAAAAAGAAAAAGAAAAGAAAAGGATCATCTAAGGACAAAAGTGGATCATACACGGCAACACACCCTCCTATCTCCCGCACGCACCTCTGCACACACACAGGCACATGTTTAATCTATATGCTGGCATTAAGAACAAGTCACATCACATCTACACATCAGCCAAGAGCAGTGGTGACCTGAACTTTTACAAAAACAAATGCTGAGAGAAGAGAAAAGGGGAATTTGAAGCTCCGTTCAAACATAATATCTAAACTACTGCAGCAAACAACACGATCACAAGCATGAAACTGGGAAGTCATTATTTCAAATGATTTGTGACAGGAGCTTCTTTACCTGAAGCTAAGGCAGAGTAATGGCATTTTAGGAATAAAAAGATTACAAGTGCCAATGTAGTCCATGGTAACAAAACAAAACA